CCTCCCCTCCCACTTTCTGGAGAAGTCTTAACCTCCATCCGTGGCAGGTGGCTGAGAGCGTGGGGGAGGAAGGATGTCCTCCGAGCCTGCCCCTGCTGCCAGTCACCACACCTGGCCGGGGTTAAGGCTCAGCCTTGGGGAATTGCCCACTGAGGGATGCCATGGCCTGGGCGGGCTGTGGGGGCATTTGGCCTCCTTCCAGCCTCTCCTGGGCCAATAAGTGGGCAGCGGAGTGGCCAGCTGCACAGAGCCAGGCCCCGCAGCATACCGAGAGCCACCGGGCAGCCCTGTGTGTCAGGCTGACCGCCCTGGAGCCCTTCTGAGTGGAGACGGTGCTGAGCCGGTGGTCCATGGAGCACTCTGGGGCCACTGAGTGACCCTCTGTTCTGTGGTGGCTGTCCAGGGCCTCCGTCCACTCTCCAGGCCCTCTCTGTGCAGGGGATCTCTGCTCCTTGCCCCAGGCTCCCCAGGAAGCCTTGTCCCCTGCCCCTGTCCACGCTCGGCTGGCACAGCCTCTCACCCTGGCACCCAGCTCAGCCTCTCTCCATCCCCCAAACAACCCTGCTGGCCCCCACCCCATTGCTGATCCTTCTGCAGGTGGTGGGCGGAGAGGCTTCCTGGAGAACCTCACAATGGTGGCGTTGTCCCAAAGCCCAGGGCCCGGGAACCTCTGTGGACGGAATGTGCCTCCTCTCAGCTCCCCCAGCCCCGTGTGTGTTTTAAGGCTTGGGGACTTGAGGCAACTTGCCTGCCAGTGGCTCCAGCTGAAGACGCTATCTGATCTAGCACAAAAATGACATATTTGGTTATTTTTAGTGTAACATCTGGCATTTGTCTGGGACCCTGTGGCTTGTAGAACTCCCCTGTCCAATCCCATTGGAGAGCGCCATCCCCTCTACCGGCCTGCCCTGACCCACTGGCCTGAGTCCAGCCCCCTCTGTTCCCTCGCACCCCTGCCACATGGCTGAGCCCTTCCTCCATCCAAAAATGCTTCCTCTGTGGACACCTGCCACCCTCTTCTGGCCAAATGCAGTCCTTGGGGCCACAGGTTCCTGCACCCCAACCCCCCAAGCCCCACCACTTTCTCATCTCAAGATGGCATGGCCGATGTCACATCAGTGCCAGGACCAGCTCGTGAGGGCGCTACTCCACAAACGCTTCTGGGCTCCATCACGCACAGGCCCAGCTGAAATGCTCAGGTTGCCCCCACATACATTTCCTCTGCCTGGAGTGTCCTCTCACCCCAATAATGTTGGGTCCCAGCAAAGAGTGCAAGGCCTGGCCCATGGGGTTATCAGAGTGTGAATGGGTGGATGGATGGAGGGTGGGTGATGGATGGATGGATAGAGGGTGGATGGATAGAGGGTGGATGGATGGATGGGTGGGTGGATGATGGATGGATGGGTGGATGGATAGATGGCAGATGAATAGAGGGTGGATGGATGGGTGGATGGATGGATAGAAGGTGGATGGATGGGCTGATGGGTGGGTGGATGGATGGATAGAGGGTGGATGGACTGTGGATGGATGGATGGGTGGATGGATGGGTGGATGGATGGAGGGAGGGAGGGTGGATGGATAAGTAGATGGAGGGTAGATGATGGGTACATGGATGCATAGGAGGGGGAGGAGGGATGGGTGGGTGAGTGATAGACAGGTAGTGGTGGTGAGAGGGAGGGAAGGAGGGGGGCACATATGAGTCCTAGCTCAGAGTCCTGGAGAACTTCTCACGCTCTGTGGTTCCGTTTTAAGTGGCTTGGTTCTGAGTCTTCTGCCTTTTCTCTGAAGACTCTGGAGCTTGTCCACTCACACTGCCCTGTGAGTTGCAGAAGCCCCGGGCCCAGGTATCTTGCACGACAAAAGGAAAGCTGGGGTGGGGCAGCCATGTTTAAGCAAAGTCCCCACCGAGGTGGTCAGAGCCTTGGGCCTGGTCCTGGCCGTGGACAGTGGGGCCCACAGGCCGGGCACCTTCCTGCAGGCCTCCCGCAAGTTCCTGTTGTGTGACTAACCTGGATGCACAGGGAACACCCAAGGCTGTGTGTGTATGTGCAGAAGGGTGTCCTCTGGCCAGCACTCGGAAGGCCAGGCCAGCGGGAGCCCCATGGAGCAGAGGACGGCTGACACCTCTAGGAAGGCCTACTGGGCCCATGGACGAGGTCCGCTCCACCCCGGGCCGGGCTGGCGGCTCGGCCTGTCGTCCCGCCCATCATCAGCTACTCTCTGGGAACCTGCCAGTGGCCCCGGCCCTGTTCCACTGAGGATGAGGAGGATCACTTAAACCTGGTCCCCCTTCGAGGGGATGAGCAAGGGGCATTGAGACACAGCAATTCAGGCCTGTGTCAGTGCTGTGCAGGGGCCATCTCTGGACGCAGGAGGGAGGCCCTGGCCAGAGAGATGCCCATGGGTAGAGCCAGGACCCCTTCAGGCCCACAGCTAGAAGGTCCTGGTCACTGGATGGAGAGTCCTCAGCCTGCGTGGCCAGCTTCTCCCCGTGCTGTTGGTGATGACGGCGGAGGCTCCTTGCCCTTTTTCCAGTGGTGACAGGGAGATCCCGTGTGGTTCCTTTGCCGTGACAGTCCAGGGAGATGAGCAGGACTTCTCTTCTTGGCAGGAAGAGAGGCCACGGAGGCTAGTGGCCTCGTGGGAAGCTGGTGGGGGCTCCGTCTGCCATCTGAGCGCGGCAGTGAGCTGCTGTGCGCCGTGCGGGCCCCATGGCCCGCCCTCCCCACCTGTCTCAGGTGCCTCTCTTCCTAGAGCTTGTGCCTGCCCCGGGTCTCTGTGCCCTGTGGCTCTGCCCGACGCTGTGTCTCTCCTTCTCCCTCCCTTTTCCTTCCCACACCCCCATCTCTGTCGGTCCATCTCTCTGGCTCCCTCTCTCTCCTTCCCCCCTCTGGTGACCTGGCTGCAGGGGACGGTGCTGTAAAGCAGGGCCACTCTCCCTCCCCAGAGGCCCAGCCTGGCTCCAGTGCGGCCTGCTTACGTCCCAGCTTGCACAGGGACGCCCCTTGTCATCTGCACAGCCTGATTCAGGGTGCCTCACAGGGGGCCACTTGTGCACCTCAGGCCTCTGTGCTGAGTCCCTCGGTTCCTGCAGTGACCTGGGACCGGGGACAGCACCCTCATCCTCTGTACAATACAGGGGCCCTCCCGCTGCCCAGGCCTAGTGGAGCTGACACCCCACATCAGAGCAGGCTCCGACTCCCCGCAGACCGCTGGGCAGGGTAGGGACGCCTGCGTGTCCCGATTCTTCCCGATAGCCACAGGGTTCACCCCCAGCCAGCGGCCAGCCTCACTGGTGATCTCTGGGATGTGGAACCTGAGGAAGTGTCCTGTTCATGCCCCTGACAGGACGTGACATCTAGAGAGCCCAGGGGGTGCATGGCAGGGCTCTGTGGAACCGAAGACCACGCTGGCTCTGCCCAGGGCTCCCGTCCCTGCCTCTCAGAGCCTGCGCACTGACTGGACGGAGCCAGCGCCGTGTTCTCCTGGGTGCTTCTCAGCGCTGCAGAGCCCCAGAGGGGAGCTCCCCAGGCCGGACCCCTGACCCGAGGGCCACATTTCATTCTCCAAGACTTGCTTGGAGGAATCTTGGCCATCAGCTCTGGGCCTCTGGGTCAGTGGGCAGGACTTCTCAGCTTGAGATGCCACAGCCACAGCCACCAACTGGGCAGCTGACCAACACTTACTGCCTCAGCTCTGGAGGCCAGAGGTCTAAGGCCAGGGTGCTGCCCCTCGGCTGGCTCCCTGTGGGACTCTCTCTTCCTGGCTTGCAGCCAGCCAGCCCCTCTGGTGGCACCTCCTCCTGGTAGCACAAAGACCTCTGGTGTCGGTCCCTCCTGTGGTAAGGGCACTGGTCCCAGCACCAGGGCTGCCTCCTCATGACCTCACTTAACCCTGATGGCCTCGGGAGCCTCAGCCTCAAGGACAGTCTCCAGAGGTTCCGCTCCCACATGTGAATTCGAGGCACACATTCGGTCCCGAGCAGAGGGACGGTGGTCTCTCGTCTCCAGGGCAGAATCGGGTAGGACAGCCCCCTCCACTCCAGCTTCTAATTAAATGTCAGGAAGAGGGTGAGAGTAGGAGCCGCACAGAGCCCCCAGCCCTGCCCTCCTCCCCGCTCAGGCCGAGGTGGTCCCAGCCCACGGTGGGAGGACTCTGAGGGTTCCTGGGACAGTCCCCACACACCTTTCACAGACCTGGATGCCTCTTGCTGCCCGTGGTGGCCCCTGAGACACCTGGACCTCCTTCCCTTCCGGTGGGTCCGATTGTTCATTTCTGATGGTGAATCCAGCCCTCACCTACCCCCGTGGCCCTGCTCAAGACGGCTGTGGGGTACAGGGGCCTCACAGCCACCTGACCCCCTCCTGCCAGCTGGGTGACACTGGGCACAGTGCCAGGCCTCTGGCCTCGGGGCCACGGGTGAGGCCCGCGGCTCTGAGCACTGTGGCGGCCGGTGGGCCCTTTGTGGGTTACAGAACCTGGCCTTCCTGGGCCGGTTGGGCAGGGGCTGATGGGTGCAGGGCACCGAGGTCTCCTCCTCCCCGATTGTCAGGTGGGCTCTCAGTAGGACATCAGCCCAACAAGGAGCTCGACACACCAGTTACGGACACACCTCACGCCCCCGTCCCTGCCCTCCGGGGACTGTGAGAAGTCACCAAGGCCCGGAGGGTCCCTTGGCCAGCACCAGGACCTGGGACTCTCTGTTTGGGAGGTGGCTTGGCCTAGGGAACAGGCCTGAGCCAGGGGAGAGGCAGCCGCTCTGCTCCCTGCAGCTGGAGGGTGCGGCCTGGCGCGGGCGGGGGTGAAGGTGGGCCGCGGGCTGCCCACACCGTGGGAGTCGGCCTTGGCCAGCCTTCCCAGCGCTCCTCGGGGCCTCCTCCCTGGGCCCGGGAGGCTTCCAATCCACCAGGCTCATTACCGCCCCTGCCTGAGCCTGGGGGAGGCAGGGCGTGCCTGTCTCATCTATTGCGCTTCGCTCGGTTAATCGAGGGCCCATCTCCGGAGACAGACCTCGAGCTATTTTTACACCCGTGAGGTTTTTTTGGTTTTTTTTTCAATTTGCCATTGATGTTTCTCTGCTCGAAACCCTGGCGGGTTTGTGACTTCTATAGAGAAGCTCTGGTGCGTGACGGGTGAGCCCACGCGGAGAGGCCGCGCGCGCGGTGCCGGCACTGTGGGTCAGCTCCACGTCAGGTGGCAAGGTGGGGGATGCCAAAGCCTGCCAGGAGCGCCTTCCCCGCCGCCGTCACCCGGGCTCAGCCAGTGCTCAGTGAGTGCTGATGGCGAGGTGACGTGACGGGGGCCGAGGCCAGCAGCTCCGAGCACTCGGTGGGAGGCAGCCTTGGGGTGCCAGCTTCACCTGCCCCCCCTTCTTCCTGCAGCTCCTGTACGAGGAGTGGGCGAGCTATGGGGTCTTCTACAAGTACCAGCCCATCGACCTGGTCAGGTAAGCGGGCTCCGCGGGCCTGGCCCTGGCTGGGGGAAGCGGTGGCTGGCTGGATGTCAGTGGGGGGACGTCCCTGTGGCCTCAGCCGCTCTGAATATTCAGTCACCTGGGAACCTGTTGGAACTCGAAGCTGCGTGGGAGGCTCTGCGTGTGACCCAGCCAGCGCTGGGGGCAGCAGCTTCTTTACTCACTGGAGGATGGACGTCCTATGTCACGTCCAGTCTCTGCTGCCCCCATGGCCGCGCCTGGCCCTGTCCACGGCTGGGGCTCCCTGCCTTCCTCAACATCTGTCAGAATCTGTGAGAGGCCCAAGGACCTTGGTCCCTGTAAGGCAGGAAGGGACCGATCAGCTCAGGCAGCGTGTCCTGTTGGGACTTGACAGAGTGTGGCCTGTGGAAACCGACTTAGCCACCAGGAGCCCACGGGCGACGGGTGTGGCAGGTCTTCTCCCCTCCAGGCCCACGGCCACTCCAGTGCTCAAGGCTCCGGGAGCACAGTGTGCCCACCAGTGTGGCCTGCACAAGCACAAATGCCCCTTCCCAGGGCCCAAAAGAGAGGCGGGTGACACCCACCGAGAGCAGGGCCCCCGCCCCCACCCGGGGAGGTTTTCCGAGCCCCGTGCTGCCTCTGGGACCAGAAGTGCCCTGCATAGAGCTTCCCCTCTGGGGAGGGACGCGCATTCTTTCCGGGCTGTGGGCTGAGAAGGAGCCTCTGTCTGCTCTGGGGCAGGAAGTACTTCGGGGAGAAGATCGGCCTGTACTTCGCCTGGCTGGGCGCCTACACCCAGATGCTCATCCCAGCCTCGGTCGTCGGTGTCATCGTGTTCCTCTACGGCTGCGCCACCGTGGACGAGAACATCCCCAGGTAGGCACAGCCCCCAGGGTCACGCCCCCGCCCAGGAGCAGAGTCCAGTGGGAGGCTGGCCTCACAGCCTCCCGCGCTCAGCCCCCCGGGGACCTCAGGGGCACCTGGGCGGCCGCCGTCTAGAAGCTCAGAGCTGTGTCCACGTGTGGGCACCTTCCTGGGCGCCCTCACTGACTCGGGGCGCGAGGTCAACGCCAGGCCCGTTCTCATGTTTTGAAGGACTTGTTATGTCATCTGGGGTCATCGAACAGCAAGAAAATCCCCTACCTTGTAGGGTCGGGAAGGGATTCCGGCCTGGGTGCCGCCCAGAGAGCACCTTGACCCCACGGCCGCCTCTGAGTGGCGCCTGCGCTGTCACCCCCAGGGCCCAGCCACAGCCGAGTTCAGCCCACGCAGGTCTCTGTGTGTAGATCCCCTGGGCCTCCCTGGTCTCCGAGCACTGTGCCAGGCCCCCAGAGACACCAGCCTGGCTCGGGGGGCCCTTCTCCCCGGCACCTCCGCCTCCTCTGCGTCACTGGACTAGCTACAGCCACCCCTGCGCACGGCAGCGGTGCGCCCAGGCCCCAGCTGTCAGGGCGCCAGGACCTCGGCCCTCTGTTCTCAGGCCCTCCGGGTGCAGCCCTCTGCAGGGACCGAGGCCCTCACGGGGCCTGACTGCCCTGGCCTCGCAGGACCCTGTGTCTCAGCAAGTCCTGATGCCAGCTGGTGGCTTCCTGGTGACTCTGCCAGTTCCTCGGACACAGCCGTGGGCTGGAGAGCTACCCGTAGTTCCGGTCAGTGAAGAGCCACCGAGTCGTCCAGCCCATGAACAGGCTGGCTCTCAGAAGCCCAGAGAGGCCACAGCCGGCCGGTTGTGTTTAAGGAGGTTTGGATCCACGAACGACACCTGAACTATCCCACCAGCTCGCGGGGGCTCGGGCCCGGCCCCTCAGTGCTGTCCTGACCCTGGGCAGGGGGTGCTTGTCCTTTCTTTTTGAGGATAGTGTGAGGCCCCTGCACCCGTTTGGCCATGGTGACCATCTCTGAAGCCCAGCCGCGGGGGATGCTGAGGCTGGCCTCGGGCGGCAAGGGCAGGGCAGGGAGGGAGTGTCCCCGGACGCCCTGGAGCAGGCCAGGTGAGTCTCCTTCCTTCCTCGGGCGGAGACTGCCAGCTCGGGCGTGGACTGCCCAGGAAAGGGTCCAAGATCCCCTCGACTGTGCCAGCTCGGCCGCCATCACGTGGTCAGAAACGCAGTGACTCAGGGGGGTTGGCAGGCAGGGCCAGGCGTCCCCACCCAGCCTCACCTGGTGCTGTGCCTGGAAGGGGAGGCGCGTGGGCCCTGCAGGCTCCCCAGGCTGCCTGCAGGGAAGCCCAGCTTCCGGCCTCCCTGGGAACACCTCCACCTCCGACCTCCACCTCCACCTCCACCTCCAACCTCCAACCTCCACCTCCAACCTCCAACCTCCAACCTCCACCTCCACCTCCGACCTCCGACCTCCACCTCCAACCTCCAACCTCCACCTCCACCTCTGATCTCTGAGCTCCTTGTCCTTATCTTGGCTGGGTTCAGAAGCAGCAGGAGCAGGCTCTGTGAATGGCTGGTGGCATTTGCCAGGAGCTGAGGCTGGCAGGGAGGAGACCAGCCTAGGCAGAGTCAGCCCTCCCTGACCCGAGCCCACCGCAGGCCTCCAGGCCCTCCAGCCTGGCGGCCACTATGGCCCTGGGTCAGGGAAGCCGGTGGGGTGGCCTTCCACCCATCTCCCTGCCGGAGGGGCTCAGGTCAGGCACAGCTGGGCATGTGCTGCCCCCTGCGTCCCCGCTGCCTCCCTGGAGAGGCCCCAGAAGAGGGGAAGCTTAGTAAGGGCTAGAGGTGCCCCCACGAGGCCGTCCCTGGGCTTCTGTCGAGATCTCCCCAGCTCCCAGGGGTGGCCACTCTCGGATGATAGCGGTGACTACAGCGGTCACACGCCAGCCCCGATGCAGAGGTCCGTGCACCTCGGTTGTCTTGTCCCCCCGACAACCCAGTGACACATTATCAGCACCCACGTCACATACGGGTGACCCTGGGACACAGGAGGTAGAGTGACCTGCCCGGGGCCAGGCGGGTCGCAGAGATCCATCCCAGAGTGGCCGGCTCCGGAGCACAGTTCGTCCCCCTGCCTGCGAGTCGGCCCCGCGCCCAGCCCCCACGGCCCCACGGGCACCCACTCTTCCCCAGATCCCCGGGCAGCTGCCATGCGCCTCTCCCGCCCCTCCCACCTCCTGCCCGATGTCCCCTGACTGGCACGGGAAGGTCCCTGGAGCTGGTGGCTGCGGTGGGCCAGGTGTGCATCTGTGCCCAGGTTCACTGTCTCCAGGAACCTAGCCAAAAGGGAACAAGCAAAGACCTCAGCTCCGCCCCAGGTTCCGTCCGACCTCTGGGGACGGGGGCTCCAGCCGGGCGTCTGTTCGTAGATGAGGGTCTGGGCCAGGTTCACGGGGAGGCCACAGCCGGAAGGGCCTTATTCTGCCCCCTCCTGGTGTTCAGAAAGAGAACCAGATCTGAAGCTAGAGGGCTTGGCCAGGGTCCCAGAATGCAGGACGGGAGAACAAGGACCCAGCCTAGGCGCCCCACCTCGGCAGGGAGCCCCACCCCCATGGCCCCGAGAAGACTTTGAAGACTCAAAGACCAAGGTCCAAGTCCACTGGGCTGTGTGGCTCTGAGGAACTTATTCCCCTCTCTGGGCTCCTTTCCCATCTGTGAAGGTGGGATTGATTCTGTAATCCCCAGTGCTGATCCCAGCCAGGTGGACACTCCACGCAGGCCGGTGCTGAGGCTCTTGCTACCAGCTGGTGGCCTCTCGAGTCAGTGGAGGGGAGAGCCTGGCTGCTGGCCTCCTCCTCTGCATGTAGCTGCGGGCGCTGCCCCTCAAGCCTGTCTGCACAGCAGATCAGAGGCCTCACCAACCAGGGCCACCATCCCAGGTGGGCCCCCTTGGTACCAGGTAGCTTGGGGACGTGTTCCTGTGACCCAGCCTCCTGGAGAACATTCTGGGGTGCCTCCTCCGCCCTCCTTGGTGTCGGGGAGAGGGCCCCACAAGCACTTGGCGGCCTGCTTCCCAGGGACTGAGTGGGGTGCTCCCCCAGCTACTCCCCAGCCCTTTTTGCTTTTGAGACAGGGTCTCGCTAAATTGCCCAGGCTGGCCTCGAACGTGGGATCCTCCAGCCTCAGCCTCCCGAGTGGCTGGAATTCCAGGGGTGGCCACTGTGCCCAGCTACCCTTGTCCTTTCAGTTCTGGGACCTAGCCTGGGCTCCGTTCCCAACAGACTTGCCCTGGCACTGCCCGGCCACAGGGGAGAGGCTCGCCAAGACTCCAGACTTCTGGGTGGCTGGCGTGCAGGCTGCTGCCTGAGGGTCACCAGAGGGGACCATCCTGCCCCAAGCCACTCTGAGTGGGGCCTCACCAGGGCCAGCTGGAGTGGCAGAACCCCCTGCAAAAGGAAATGTGACACCCTTGTTCAGAATTCCTAGGGATTCTAAGACGGGAATGGCAGGGGCCCTGCTGACTCGGGTTGGGCTGGCGGCGTGGGTCCCACACCTGTGAAGCTGGCCCTGGGTGGCAGGGAGGGACAGGGGCACGGCTGTCACCAGCTGATGCTCCTCACAGTGTCCCCTGTGGTGCAGGAGCAGGGGCTTTGCTACTCCGCCTGGCCCCCAGGAGGTGTCTCGTCCAAGTGGCCGGGGGACTTGAAAGCGGCCCCTCTCTTGCAGCATGGAGATGTGTGACCAGAGACACAACATCACCATGTGCCCCCTCTGTGACAAGACCTGCAGCTACTGGAAGATGAGCTCGGCCTGCGCCACGGCCCGCGCCAGCCACCTCTTTGACAACCCGGCCACCGTCTTCTTCTCCGTCTTCATGGCCCTCTGGGGTAAGTGGAGCCTGCAGGGCGGCCACCCACGCCACCCGGGGTTCCGGGCCTCCTGGGTTCTCCGTCTCGGAGCCTCGGCAGGCGGGGTTTGCCAGGAGGGCACCAGGTCGGCGCTGCCGGGGTGCAGAGGGGCAGTTCTGACCCGTTGGGGCCCTGGCAGGCCCAGGAGGGCACCAGGCTGGCCAGGCTGGCAGTGGCCCTGCTGAGGACCACAGCTGCCCCTCGTGGGGGAGGCGGACCTGGGCCAGCCGGGGCGTTGGCTCCCATTGGAGCCTCGTGGCCTCCTGCAGGTGTCCCGTGCCCATTTTAAGGAAGGGAAGCTGAGGCCCCGAGAGACAGTGGGAGGGGCCCGGGGTCCCCGCTCCCGAGCGGCCGTCCTGCACCTGCGCCCTGCCCACTGGCCTGCACTGCCACCAGAGCCAGGCGGGTTCCTCCTCCAGGAGTCCCGATCCCCGCCCAGCTGCTTCCTGGGCACAGGGGGTTGGCCCTGCCCGTGTCCTTGGTCAGCAGGGGTGCCGTCCGTTCCCTTCTCTGCAAACTGGGCTGACCGCGGCCTTGCCAGCTGGGTATCTGGGATGTGTGCAGTGGCAGGCTGTGACCCCCACACTGGACACCAGGGCCCGTCATCTCCAGGGGCTCACGTCTGTAGGAGCTGGGGCCGGGCACAGAGAAGAGGGCAGTCCCCCCCAGGGAGGGGGACTCAGGAGAACGTCCCAGGAGAGCTGGAGGCCACGGACCTGAGTTCCGAGGATGTGGCCAGGCAGTGTTTGTGGCAGAGGGGCCACATGGAGGACAGAGGTGTGTTCGCCAGTGACCAAAAGACCAATGAGCCATCATTGGGCTACGGTGTCAGCGGCTCAGGTGTGATGGCCCCAGTGCCATCAGTGCCCCCTCCAGCTGGGCTACGGTGTCAGCGGCTCAGCTGTGATGGCCCCAGTGCCATCAGTGCCCCCTCCAGCTGGGTCACCAGCCAGCTCTGCTGTCTCTTGGGGCTCCTGAGGCTGTGTGGCTGCTGGGCTAGCACCCTCTAGTGGCACACAGGGTGACCCTCCTGGTGATGGCTACCCAGGCCGCTAGGTCACTCAGGGCCTCCTTTCCTGGCCAGCCAGGTGGCCAGGTGCCCCCCTCAGTCCACCCTCTCTCCCTGGCCCCAGAGGCCCCGACTGTGCCCCACTAGGGCCCTGGAGAAGCCAGACTCTGTGCCCTCCCTGACCCTGCCCTGGGACTGGGGAAGAAGTGGCTGTCGGTGGCCCCTGGTGACGGCCCTGTCCCAGTGAGCCTGCAGACTCGTCCACTTTCACGGACTCTACGGTCACTGTCAGGTGGCTGCCAGGCATGTGGGTCTGGGCCTCCCGTGCCTGCAGAGAGCCCCAGGTGCCCGGGTGTTCCTCTCCTTCTCCTGGCCAGCGCTGGCCACCCTGGTGGCCAGGGGAGAAGGGAGCGAGGGTGAAGGAGGAACCTTGGGCTCTGACTGTGTTCCCAGCTCCTTGTGCCTGAAGAGGGACTGTGACCGCCTGGGGGCGGGGTGGGCTCCAGGGTCCCAGAGCACTGGTGCTTCCTGGTCACTGAGAGGTCACCTCTTTTAAGTCCTAGCATGTCACCCCTGTACCTTCCCCGCCACCCGCAGGAAGAACTGCAGGCCGCACGGGGGCTGCCACACCTCTGTGTGTGCGCTGACCACGGCCTTCTCCTCAGGGTCCCTTCCTGCCTGGTCAGCCCCCGAGTGGACGCAGGCAGCGCCTGCCCCTGAAGAGGGCAGATGGGTTAAGCTGTGTTTGGAGAGGGACCTGGGAGAGTGAGGTCCCCCTATGCCGGGCTCAGCAGCACTCTGAGCCCCCGGCCTGGGTGTCCCCGGGTGACAGAGGACCAGGATCAGAGAGTCTGGCCTAAATGTCTAAAAACCAGTCGTCACCCCTTGGTTCTCAAACTGGGTCCTACAGGCCTCTGCTGGGTCCCCAACTAGACAAGAGCCTCAGGCCAGAAGAGGTCAGGGGCAAGGGCCCGGGCACAGCCCTGAATCAGGGCCACCTGCAGGGGTCTTCTCCCACCTGCCGACCCTGGGGACCAGGGCCATGACTCTCCAAGTGTGGGCCCTCGACTCCCCTGTCCAGCCCTGACCTAGACTGACACCAGTCCCTTGATCCCCTTGACTTTCTGTTTGGGGACGATGGGGACCCTCCTCTGAGTTTGAAACTTCAGCTGCAGCTGGCAGCCCTCTTGGTGGGCAAGGCCCCCCGGGGACGAGAGGAGGTTCCAGTGGGCCTCACGGGTCCTGTGGCCTTCAGACCAGGCGACGTCAGCCCTGGGCTGTGGCCCGCCACACGGGGTCCCGGGTTACAAGCAGGAGACAGACGGGGGCAGAGGTGAGCCCAGCCTTGGGGTCAGCTGTCATCCCCCTCAGTGGGCAAAAAAGGATTCGGAGTAAGCTCAGCCTGAGAGGCCACCTCACGGGCCTTGTGCGGGGGACCCGGCGGGCTGGCCCGGGTGCTGAGCTGCCCGTGCTGGGAAGCGTTCCAGCCAAGGTGGGCATCTCGGGTGGCCCTCGGCACCCCATCCTCCGCATCCCCCAGGTGACACCTCACCTCTTCTCACAAATGAGGACAGTGAGGCTGCAGGCAGGGACAGGAGCCCACCCCTGCCCCCCTTCCTGCCTCCTGGGCCCTGGGGAATCATCTCTGACGTCCCCTCACCACAGACCCCTGCCCCTCCTGGGGACCTCAGCGGTGGTCAGCCCTGCCTTTCCTCCCTCCTCCAGGCCCCACCCAGGCCAGGACACCTCCTGGCTGGACACCAGCCTCCCGATTCCCCTGCCCAAGCTGGAAGTGGGCCACGGTGGGCCCGGCCCGTGTGGCCACCGCCCAGTGCTTTGGGCAGCCTCGAGCTCTGACTCACCCGCGTGACTGGAGCGTGGCTGGTAGGGTCAGGCAGGCAGGGGGCCCGAGACTGGCTCTGTCCCCTGCCAGTCTTGTGGCAGTGGGAACAGACTCCCCGATGTGCTGTGTCCGCCTGCTGCATCTTGGAGGCCCCAGAGAAGCCGGCCAGCAGGGGCTGGGGTGGGGCTCAGGCAGAGCATTCCTGAGGCCCCGAGTTCAACCCGACAACAGGATGCAGATCCCAGCCACCGTCCTGCTCTGCCCAGTCTGCACCGGGGGGCCCCGGGACCTGCCTGCTGAGCAGCCCCGTAGGGTGCCCGCTGTTACCGAGAAGATCGGGCTTTGAGAACCTGGCCATTGCCCTGTCCCCCGAGACTACGCTCCGCTCTCCCCTCTCCCTTGTCTTCATCTCCTCAGAGAAGGGCGGGGGGGGGGGGGGGCGAGCCCTCCCAGTGGCAGGTGCCCACCGAGCCTGTGGTGTGCGGAGACCCCTCCCCAGTGACCGGCAAGGCAGGTGCCTCCGTGGCCCCTCTTAGCCCATGAGCCTTCGGAGCCTGCACCAGCCCGAGCAGCAGAGGAAGACCCGAACCCCAGCCTCCCGGCTCCTGAGCCCCGGGGCCTGACCGCTAGCCCTTGCCCCTCCCACGTCACCAGCCAACTTGGCCAACAGGGTGTGTCACACGACTCTCCCTTTCTCCTGACCGACCTCAGAGTTTTGTCTGAAATAGCTTCTCGTCCATCTCCCCAAACTGCCGCTTCTTCCCGATGGAGCCTGCGGTGGGGACCGGCCACACCAGGTCCTGTCTGTGCTCTCTGCACGGGCTGTCTCGGGGACCCCGCAGCAGCCGTAGGGAGGTCTGTTATCTCTGATGAGGATGCTGAGGCGCAGAAAGGTCAAGTGACTTGCCCAAGGTCACACAGCTAACCGATTAATCACAGATCCACAGCTTGGCCCATTAATATCCAAGGTCCAAGTGAGTGCCCTGGTCACACCTCTCCATCCAGATGTTCTCCAAGCCCCCATTAGGTGTCCTCTTGGGGGAGCAGATGTCGGATCTTGGCCTGGGTGGTCCAGGCAGTAAGGCTGCCTGGTCAGCCGGGACCCACAGGGATGAGATGGCGTTCATTAAACCCGCAGCGCCATGGACAGGGCTGCCCTGTCCACCCAGCTGCTCTGCGCTGGGGACCTACTACTTTTCTCCCTCAAAGACAATGGCCATCCCTGCTCCAGGGAGGAACGTGGTCAGGGGGCCTGTCCTCCGGAGCCTGGCCGACCCTGGCCTCCCCAGCTGCACCCCCACGGCAGGGAGACCAGGTGAGCCCGTCTGGAGTGGGGGATCCAGTGCGAGTTCAGGCCACCAGCGCTCTGGGGTGGGGAGCTCACTCCTTCCGGACGCAAGCCGCAGGGCAGAGCAGAGCTTGGTGAGCCCGGGAGACGGGGAGCTGCGCCCTGCCCACTCACCCGCCCGCAGGTGAGAAGACAAAGCTGGCCCTGGCCCGCTGCCCGGCTGCCAAGTGCGATTAGCAGGGCGCGGGGGCGTTGATCCTCATTCAACCACCCACTCCTGGCCTCGGCGGATCGGTTTTCCTCTCCTGGCTCGGTGCCCTCCTCGTGCCCTCCGGCTGGCCTCATGACTGCCCGCCCAGACGGGGAGAGCCCCAGACCTGTCCCGCCTGGACGCAGGGGCCCTGGCCGTGGCCGCCATGGGGAGTGGGCTCCCTGTGCAGCAGCCCCCCCAGAACAGCCCTGTGCTCCTGGGGAGCTGGGCTTTGCCAGCCGCCCGCTGGTCCTGGAGGCTCCATGGTGGCTCCTGCTGGTGCGGGTGACATTTCAGAGCCTCAGATGGATAGTCACGTTAAGCAGCTCCGAGCCCCAATTAGCTCTCTGCTGGGATCAATTTTCTGAAATTATAGCGTAATGGTGGGTTTCAGCCGCGTGTCCACTTCGTGCAGAACAAAGGGGGTGATTTGCTCCCAGCCCAGCTGCTGGGACCGAGCTCGATGCTCAGTGTGACAGTGTGAGCGAGGTGACAGAGGGGCCGGAGCCTCCGGGTGCGCCTGAGGTCCTGGTGGCTTTGACAGTTGGGGGAGGGGGCTGTTCCCTGGAGCTGGGGGGGGGTCATCTGCTGGGATTAAAAGGCCAGCAGATGGGGCTCTGGGGATGAAGAGGTGGGTGCAGGGACCCCGTGCAAAGCCAAGGCCAGAGGCCGCACCCGCGTCCACTGCTGGTGCCGGACGAGGGCTCTGCCCTCCAGCTCCTGAAGGCGGAGTCTGCGCTGAGCACAGGTCCCTGGCTGGGACACAGATGCACAGGCGCCACCTCGGCCCTGCAGTCTGAGCCCGGAAGTCCGAGATCACGCAGGGCCCAGCAGTGCCGGTGAGGCCCGTCTCCTGGTGCAGAGATGTCCTCACGGGGCGAGGGGACAGGCGGCTCTCTGTCAGGGTGCTCACCAGAGCATGAGGGCCACCCTCGGGACCTCATCCTCCCAGAGCCCTGCCTCCCGGCAGCACCACAGGAGGCCGAGGACCTCGAGGTGGGGACTCAGGGGACACAGTGTGGGGAGAGTGGGTGCAGTGCCCAGCGTCCGGGCGGCCAGCTCAGCTGCTGCTTTAAAACAGACCTGGCGGCTTCCACGGCAGACGTTGGTGGCTCACGGGCCTGGGGGTGAGGACGCAGGAGCGAGGTGCGGGGGTCTGGCTGTGGTCATGTCCTGGCTTTCCAACTGCCGCCCGCCCTCGGGGCCCTCACGGGGTGGCTGGACAGAGACAGCGCCCGCTCCCCGGTGTCTCTTCTTGTCCAGCCCCCACCCTGCCTTGAGGACCGCCGTGGAGCCTCACGTAACCATGCGGACACCGCAGCCTTGCTCCCGAGCAGCCTCCTGGCGGACACGGTAGGGTCCCTGCCAGGGGGCCGGGTCGTGAGAGCCGTCGGGGTGACTCGGAGGCCCACCCTAGGGACTGCTGGGACCAGCTCAGGGGCGCTCCTGCAGAGACAAGGCAGCAGTCAAGTCCTGCCCCCACGTCCCGCTCGGGTCCAGTGCCGACCCAGGGCCAGCCCACCCGCTGCCCGCGGCCCCTGAGTGCTGCTGGCGTCGTGTCGTTCAGACAAACGTTGAAGGAAAGAGGGACGTGGCCCCTGCCCAGCGGCTCCTGCCCTGGCCTGGATTCCCTCTGGCCACCTCTTCCACGCTGTGCTGGCCTCCGGGCCCGGGTTTCATGGGGAGCCTGGTCTCTGGTCACCTTGCAGCGTGGCCCAGGCTGGTCTTGACATTCAAAGTCGGGGGGACCCGGGCGGGACCTCAGTGTGTGGGTCTCTGAAACGGAGCACGTTATCCGGGCTTGAGGGGCCGCAGTGGGGGACCGGGTGGGAGGGCACCACACCCAGTGCTGCTGCCAGGCGGGTGCTGTGTCCCACGTGGTGTAACTGGCACCCCCAGGACCAGGACCCACCGACCCACTGCTGCCCACGCTTGGTGCCAGGAGGGCCGGTGGCAGGAGTGTCCCTGTCAGGCATACCCATAATAATTGGACTTACAGTTGGGCTTGTGGTCACTACTCCCTGCCCATCCAGCACGGTGCTCACGGGCTGACCCTGGAGTGTCACAGAATGAGGTTCAGATCCCACTCTGCCTGGCCTTGGGCGTAGCGTGTGCCCTCTGCACTCAGCGCTGATTTGCCCGGGAGTGGGGCCTGCACCCAGAGCCTGGGCGTGAGGGTAGCCAGTGTCCTCCACGTGCTGGCCTGAAGCCTGACACGTGACCAGGCCACATCAGACACCAGTGCTGAGGCCACAGGCGGGCACGGAAACGCGGAGGCTGCACCCAGGAGGAGACGGGGACAGCCAGCTCCCCGCATCAGCCCTCCTGGGCCAGCTCAGTCCAACAGTCGTCTCTGTCCTGAGACAGCCGAGGCCTGGCCGGGCACGTGGCCAGAGGGGGGCATAGGAGCAGGGCCTCTGGGTGTTCCCACGCCAGAGTGGTGACAGACACAGCTGGGTCTCCTTCCTGGGCACGAGTGGCCCTGGGGCTGGCAGGTCTTGCCCTGCGTCTTCCCAGCGCAGGGCTCTGGGTGCTCTGGGCGCTCTGCCGTCCTCGTCCCGGGCATGGAGGTGGCTGTCACCCAGCGGGATCACCTCCCGCGGGGAGAACCGAGAGCCCCTCTCCAGCTCTTGGACTGACACCCAGGGTGCCACTGCCGTCACCAGCTGGCACGGGACCAGAGCTCGCTCCTCCCGGGCCCTCTGCCCCGTGGCCGGCTGCCTCCCCCGAGCTCCGCCCCTCTAGCTCCCGCGGAGGGACCGTGAGAGACCTGGCGCTTCGGTGCCCGGCCGCGCCCCCTACGTCCCTCTCCAGCCCGACCCTGTTGCTGGAGACCACAGGATCGATTCCCCCGCGGCTGAAGAATGTGTGTGCGCCACGTCGTCATCACCCGCTGAAGGTCCGCGGACCCCGTGCTGCGTGGACGGTGCTCGGCTGCAGGGCCAGCAGGAGCCGCCGTCCCCGGCTTCCGTTCCCTCGCTGTGTGCGGGGGTGGGGGCGGCTGCAGCACCAGGTCGGCCAGCTTTGGCCTGGGGACCTCGGTGCCGTCCTGCGTGGGGGCCGTCCCACTCAGGTTCCCACCTGTTCCCCACATTCTCCCTTTGGGGCATCGTCCCTTTTGGGGCCGGTGGTGTGTCCCCGTGGTGTGGTCCCATTTCCCGTGTTAGTGGCGCCGAGTGTTTTCTTCATCCTCCTCTTGACCCGCTCACGTCCCTGGAAACGGCCTCGGGTCACTTGCTCGTGCTCCGCCTCGCCTCGGTGCGTCACTTGCCGCCCTGGACAGTACTGCTCAGGCAGGCGCTGGTCCCCTGCCGCTTGTCCCTCCCCTGGCTTGGCTCCCCCCTGCGCTGTGCAGAAGCTTGTACTTGGGTGAGGTCCCACTTGTCCGTTTCTCTTGTCACCTGTGCCTTTACGTTCTTGTCCAAAGCCCCTCCCCACACCGGCCGTCCCCCCCTGCCCTGCTCTGCACCTGCGCATTCCCCGCGCTCCCTGACCTCCACTTCCTGGAGGCTTTGCCCCGGGGACCCCGCTGGGGACCAGAGCAGGCGGGCCAGGTGCCCCTCCCTCCGCTCTGCTTCCTGGGGCATCCTGGGGTGGCCGTGTCCTCCTGGCTCCAAACCCCCGGGAACCCGCCCGCCATCATCCTAGGTTCTTGTGGGCAGCCTGTTTCTGGCTCCAACAACGCTGTTGGTTGGCACCGCAAGCTGGCACCCCTATGCTGGCACCCCCCGTGGCCTCGCCATATCCAGCTTGGCTTCTCGTCCCTGTGTCCAGCTCACGGGATGAAGTCCTGCCCATTTGCAAGGCCTGGAAAGTTCCCTGGCTGCTGGCTGGGCCTAGCTGAGGAGCCACTGACCCTTGGGGACGAACACGTTTAAACCCCAGGATGCGTTCTTGTCCCTGGAAGAGGGACGGCTCCCTGCAGACTGACCTCTCCACCCCACGCCATCTCCAGAGCACGTGGCCTCCTGCTGGGAGCCTGTGAATTCGCACTGGAGACTCAGGGTCCCACGTGTCATGTTAGCTCTGTCCTGGTCCCGCCACTTCTCAAGATGAGCCGTCCGACCCCTCTGAGCCTCCTTCAAATGGGGAAGTAGCGCCCACTAGCTGTGATGGCGAGGCACTGGGGGGAAGCCGTGCCTGGCTCGCAGCGGCGGGAGGATCCTGAGCACTACTCTGTGTCCAGCCCTGTGCTCGCTTGTCCCTGGGCCTCTGCTGGTCTTCCTTGTGGGGAGCACTTCCTTTGTGGGGAGTACTCCTGCCAAATGATTCAGGCTCTTGTGTCTCCATTTGCAAGCTGTGTGCTCTTGAAAGTCACCCATTCATCAGTGAGCTCTGCTGACCGTCCGTGTGTGCCAGGCCTGGATAGGTGCTCAGGACACACATGCCGGAAGCTCCACAGGGAGCTTCCGGCATGAGACAGGGATTGGAACAGAAGGTGGCAACACAGGAGCAGGACAGGTGCAGTGTGGGGAGGGCTCCATATCTGTCTGTTTTCCATACTACAGTGAAATGCTTGAGGCTGGTGACTTTAGAAAGCAAAGAGGTTTGTTCTGGCTGAGATTCTGGAGGCCCGAGGTCAAGGGCTGTGCCTGGTAATGTCCTGTTGCTGGCAGCCCCAAGGTGATGCTCGGCCTCCTGTGAGAGGCAGGGGGCACGCTGCGTCTGTCTGGCCCCTCCCTCTCAGAGAGCTCTCACGGGGCTCCAAGATGACCTGTCTGACCCTGACCACCTCCCAGAGGCCTCACCTCCAGACGCCTGTGGATTAAGCTCCTGCCCTCTTGATACTTCACGGTGGGGATGGAGTTCAACCAGTGAAGCCCAGGGACACGCAGCCATGTCCCAACCTAGCAGGTCTTGGGAGGAGCGGTTGACCCCAAGGCGGGTTTTTGGTGACTCCCTGGAGGTGGTGGCATTGGAACTGTGTGGCCTATTAGGAGTGCGCAGCAGGGCGTGGTGACCACGGACTCCCTGCCCTGGCCCGACCCCCAGCTGGGGGCCCCACTGTGAGCGGGGTCCTGGGGAGCAGGGGAGCAGGAGGTGAGGGCAGGGCTCTGGGGCCAGCCGCAGCCTTGACCGGGTGGCGGGGCTTGACTGCGCCGCGGTGTCCTCGTCTGTGGGGGTGACCGGTGGCTTGATGCACAGGGTCGGAGCAGGCTGATGTGCGTGACGTTGGCCTGACACTCCCAGGGCTGCTGAAGACTAGGACGCTGCCCGTCACGGGGACGAGTGGCCCTGACTCCACTTCCCTCCCTCCGCAGCCGCCACCTTCATGGAGCACTGGAAGCGGAAGCAGATGCGGCTCAATTACCGCTGGGACCTCACGGGCTTCGAGGAGGAGGAGGTCAGTGGCTGGGCGCTGTGCAGCCCCTGCCCCCAGGTGCCCCGGCCACGGCAAGGCCAACTCCCCGATCCCTGCCCCCCCTACGGGGCTCCAGACACCCTCAGTGCCCGGGTAACCGTTTTGCGTGTGCCAAGGTGTCTGACCACGTGGACGCACCACCCACCAGCGGTCTAGGGCGCACACCCAGGCTCGCCCCGCTGACCTCTTCCCATCTGGGGGCTGCAGGGTGTGGGGAGGGCACACCTCGCCCGTGGTCCCCAGAGGCCCCTAGGCCCTCGGAGCCAGCTCCCTGCCCACAGCCAGGCGCAGCTGAGCAACGGGTCCCGTCCTGAGACCGCAGAGGGGAGGCAGGGCCGAGCTTCGTCCTGCTCTGAAGGGCGGACGTACAGGGGCCAGCGGCAAGCGGCCATGGCGTGCCCAGCAAGCCCCAACCAGGATGCCCGAGTGCCCTGCCAGGGGCATTCCTGCAGCTGGCACAGAGCAGGCGACCCCTGCAGGTGGAGGGTGGGGCTGTCTTATAGAGCCTGCCCAGTGCTCCCCCGGCCTCTGCACACCAGCTGGCCTCTCCTCACATGGCCGTCCCTCATAGGCTGACCTTGGTTAGGGAAGCCAGCAGCGGGCTCCACTGGCCGTTGGTATCAGACCAGGTGTGTGGGCTGGCCACAGATGGACCCTGGGTCTGGGCTGCTCGACTTCCATCCCGATTTGACGCACACCCCGCTGTGTGGCCTGGGGACATTGCTTTATATCTCTGTGCCCCAGTGTCCTTGCCTAAGAGGCATGAGGAGTGGCCCTCGCCTGATAGGGCGTGGGAGGGCTCAGAGGGTCCATAGACCGGCCTGCTCAGAGCGGGCCCAGCACACAGCAGGAGCCTCATAAGTGCTCACCCAGCTGCCTGGCCGGCAGCAAGTGGCTGTCCAGGCCGAGCCAGGTCAGAACCTGAGCCTGTCCTCGGGGCAGTCCTTGAGGTCTACCTAGTGTAGACCTGGGTCAGCAGACACGGCGTGCCCACCTAGGGGCGCCTAAAGGGCTCCCTGAAGTGAGCGACCCCGTGTCACAGCTGCCCTGGGCCTCGGGGGAGGCAGCAGCCTCAGGCGGAGGGCCTCCCGAAGTCCAAAGCCCAGTGTCGGCACACCAAGCAGCAGGCTGTGTCCAGCGAACGGCCTCTGTGCCTCCCAGCTGTGCCGAAGGACTGAGTCTGGCACTAACTTGGGAATCTGCAAAAACTTAGAGCTACAAAGTGAACAGCACACACGGTCATCCTCAAGTCACAAGGACTTTAACAGATCCCAGGTCCCTGTCAACCCCTGTCCCCAACACTCTGTGTCCAGTGTGTCCGTTCACCTTCACGGTGATTCTTCAGAGAATTGTCTCCAGCTGGGCAAGGTGGCGCACACCTGTGACCCCAGTGCTCGGGAGGCTGGGGCAGGAGGATCGTGAGTTCAAGGCCAGCCTCAGCAACTCAGGGAGGTCCTGAGCAACTCAGTGAGACCCTGTCTCCAATTAAAATGTAAAAAAGGGCTGGGGTGTGGCTCGGTGGTCAAGTGTCCACGGTTCGATCCCTGGCGCCCCTGTGTGTATATAGCATTGTCTCTAGAGGACGCGTCCCGTTCTGGAAACAGCCGAGTAATGAATCTTTCTTCTTTTGTCTCCACTTTCTGGTTCCCTGAAGGAGGCCGTCAAGGTTTGGAATTTCTTGTCATCCTCTGTCCCCCTCTAGCCTGTCTCCCGGGAGAGGGACCTTCCGGCACGCCTGCCCGCCTGTCTGCCGTGCGGCTCTCACTCTTGCACCTGGGCCGGGCTCTCTGCTTCCCCCTCGCCTCACCTGTTCTCCATTCCAGTGCCTCGCTGACCTGCCTGGGCCCCCGGGCCCGCCTGCTGCCCGCGCTTGCTGGTACTTACTGGTCTCTTCTGGCCCCGCAGCTGCTCCGCACAGTGTCCTGGGGCCAGTTCGTGGCTGGGTGCTCACTGCAGCCTGCCCACAGCCCACCACCCTCCAGGTCCAGTGGCCTCCCCGCAGGACGGGGTCCCCACCGGGGAGCCGCCTGGGCCTGCACCCAGGCCCAGACACGGGGGCTTCTAAATCGGACATGTTGCCAGCAGCCCACCGTGAACTGGCCCCAGGGCGCCGGAGCGCACTGCCCACAGCCGCCCCGGTCACCGCATTGGGCCTGCGCGGACTGCAGCTCCAGCCGTTCCCTCCACAGGACCATCCCAGAGCCGAGTACGAGGCCAGGGTCCTGCAGAAGTCGCTGAGGAAAGAGTCCAAGAACAAGGAGGTACGTCACGCGCCACCTAGGAGACCGGGGCCAGCAGACACCGCGCGCCACCTAGTGTAGACCTGGGCCAGCAGACACCGCGCGCCACCTAGTGTAGACCTGGGCCAGCAGACACCGCACGCCACCTAGTGTAGACCTGGTCCAGCAGACACCGCGCGCCACCTAGTGTAGACCTGGGACAGCAGACACCGCGAGCCACCTAGTGTAGACCTGGGACAGCAGACACCGCGAGCCACCTAGTGTAGACCTGGGCCAGCAGACACAGCGCGCCACCTAGTGTAGACCTGGGTCAGCAGACACCGC